AATTATTCAATACATATTTTTTATTTGTTTATACTTATTTTTTTTATATTTATATCTATTTTTACACTTATACCTATTCTTTTACTATATTGATACCTATATTCTATACCTATACTTGTTTTCCTGTATTACTTCTATAAAGCTAGACTCAAGTCATATATTTATGACAATATATTAAACTATATGTATCTAATTTAAAAAAATATAATTACTCAAAATATTATAAAAAAATTCAAATAAATAAAAAATTGGTACCTATGTGGGTCACAAATGCAGCCATTATGGGCTGCCCATTTGGGCCCCAGTTCACACCCAGCAACATTTTTCTTTGGGCGGGATGTGGGAAACCCATTTGAGCCCTATAAAGCTGCCCACCTGGGCCCTAATATGACTTGCTGGCTGGGAATGTCCATCCATAAAACGTCCGTCCATGGTAATTCAGATAAGATAAACAATTCAGAAAGGTAAACAAAGCTATCTTTAACTATCAGTAACTGCTCTCAAACTACTCAAGTTTTATAGTTAAATATTTCAAATTTGCTACGAGCCATTTTTAAATTTAATTAGAAGGTGGCAAGTTTACCTTCTTAAAGAAAATACTTTTAATTGGTTTTCTTTCCTTAATTCAACTTTAATAATAATATTATTGAAAAAAAATCAAAGATTATTATAAAAGAACAAATACCGTTTGCTATCAATCCTAATGTAAGAATTTATGAGTAAAAAATTGTGTCATTTCTAGGGATGAAAATTTTCCGGAAAATTTTCAAATCAGGAAATTTTCCGGAAATAAAAATATAGTTAGCAATAAAAATAAAGAACTAATGATTTCAAGGTCATAAATTCCGACTTGAGTCTCGCCACAACCTTGCTAGAGCACTTTTGACTTGATCAATAAATTAAAAATTTATTACTTTAAAAAAGTTTAAATGTATACCCTATTTTTCTACCAATACTGCCAAGTAAGCGATTTGTTCTTGTTTTATAATTATCATGCAAAGCAAATTAATTTATAATTATTTTACTGAACATTCAGATCAAATGTGTTTTCTAATGTCATATTTAAATAAATTAATATAATCTGACACAGCTAGTGCATTTATAACATATTAACAGTTTTTACTACTGTTTTTTTTTTAACCTAGTTAAATACCAAATAGTAGTAAAAACCGTGTGGTAAAAAAATTCTTATCTGAACTTTTGCACTTTTTTTGAACTTTTCAGGAGAATTTAAGCATAGTTTTTTTTTTGTAACAGAAAATAAAATAATGGAAATGGTCTACTATTTTGGATTTAATTTTTGTTACTAATTTTATTTTGTTACTTTTGGGAAACTTAACGAGTTATTAAAATGATAAAATTGACACAATACACAAATATTTTCACGGCTTTAAGTTTTATGTTTGTAATAATTTCCGATTTCACAAAGGATGTAACTATATATAATGGCATTTGCCACCTAAGATGGGAAATGTCAACCAAATTATAAAAAAAAAATAGCTTGGCAACAAATTTTGTTTTGTTGTCTGATTCGACAAGTTGTGTTTGTTGGATAAAAGGTAACATTTTGTAAGACGCTTTTATAAACATAATTTTAGCTTCTTTTTGCAAAAATATTAATCTTTTAAAATACTATTATTTATTTTATCTGAAAAAAAATTTATTTTAAACTTTAAATAAGTTAAATTAAATAAAAAACAAACAAACAACAAATCACATAATTACTCTCTTAAATATATATATTTTAATTTTACATTCTTAAATCACGTGTTAAGATTAAATCATATTTTGAATTTTATTAGTGTGACTAGTGTGAATTTTATTAGTGTTCGAGTTTCAATCGACCAAGAAAACCATTTTAAAAATGTAGTAATAACACTGGGCAGTGTCAAAAATGTTCCTAGGGTTTTCTTCGGTGATTCTCAATGAAATTTGCATTCTAAATTTGAATCTAGGATTTAAATTTCTCAATCAGGTCTAGTTTTTAAGATATAGACTTAGGGTTCTATACCGCATATGTCCATTTTATTGCAATTCCCAGGTGACAGTTGTATATTATTATATCTATAAACATTATATAAAGTATATTTATAAAGTTTTATTTATCAATTCAATTAATGCCAAATAAATGCCAATTTTTTTACAGGCTAATATATGAGATAAATAAAAATTAATTCATAAAAATGAATAGAAAATGTAAAAACAGTCGTGACAGATTCTGCTATATGCTTGGAAAGGTCAATTTTGGTGATCAGCAATGCACCATAACTACGTTAGTAAAGTCCCTTTACAGAGCATATTTCGGAATAAAGCTTGGCGATCAAGACAAAAGCTTTGCCTTACATATATGCTGCAAAGCTTGTGTCGTAGCCTTAAGGCGCTGGAATGAGGGTACAGCAAACTGTATGTCATTTGGTGTACCAATGGTAAGGAGAGAAGGCAAGGACCATACTACAGACTGCTATATTTGTATGACCAATCTTCAAGGTAAGATAATTTCTTAAAACGGCAATATTTAACTAATTAATAATTTTTTTTAATAGTCTTATGAAGTTTGAATTGTTTATAAAAATTGTGTTGAAATTCAACAATAAAAGTCTTTAAATTGTATAGAAAAGTGGATAAAAAACTGAAAATAAATATGTGAATTTTTTCAGGTGTCAATAAGAAAAACAAACACATGGTGTTCTATCCAGATATTTTTTCTGCAAGTAAGCCAGTACCACGTGGTCTAGACATTCCAGCTCCTTCTCCACCTAAGAAAGGCGAACTAGAAGAGGATATGGAAGGTGTAAAAGTGGAAGACACTGACATATCTGAGACATATGAGCCAACGTCTAGCATAATTTTGCCAAGACCACTCATTCAAAGTCAATTGAATGACTTGACCAGAGATCTTGGTCTTTCTAAAAAGAATGCACAACTTCTTGGTTCCCATCTTAGTGAGAGCAATCTCCTCTTCAAAGAAACTATCTTCTATTGGTATAGAAGAAAAGTTTCGAAAGTTCTTTGAAGTTGATTCTTCTAGCTCGTTGGCATCTTGCAATGATGTAAAAGGCTTAATAGTGGCACTTGGCGTTCCTTACCTACCAAGAGAATGGAGGCTTTTTATTGATTCCTCTAGCAGAAGCCTAAAGGCAGTACTCCTACACATTGGAAATAAAATGGCATCTGTACTGATTGGACATTCAGTTCAGTTGACAGAAAGCTACAAGAACATGAAAATATTGGTTGATGCAATCAAGTACTCAAATCACAATTGGCTAATATATTGTGACCTTAAGGTAAAATACTTATTAAGTTTTCTTTTCAATATAACGCTTTCCTTTGAAAATACTTTTGCACTTATGGGTCATTTTTTAAAAAAAATATAAATATATTTTAACTTACTAAGATTTGATTTTTTATGAATAAATCTTTTCTTTTCAGGTTGTGTGCTTTCTACTTGGGATGTAAGGGGGGTACACAAAATACCCTTGTTTCTAATGCATATGGGATAGCCGGGCAGATAGTCTTTAATATAAGCAGAAAAACTGGCAATCTCGGGAGGCATTCACAATCGGCAGTCACAACGTGATAGCTGAACCACTAGTTCCTCCAGAAAATGTTTTACGTCCTCCTCTCCATATCAAACTTGGTCTGATTTTTGAGGTCAAGTTTTTGAGGATATCAGTCACACATATCACAGTCAATAGAACAATAAAGTTTTTACAAGACAATTTATTTCTAATAAAGAATACTTATTCATTTCTAAAAAAGCTTTTATAAGACAATTTATTTTTAATCAAGAATACAATCTTCCCAAACATTTGTCAAAAAAAAATGCATTTAATTATTTTTTATTTTAAAGGACAAAAAAACTAAATCACACACGCACACACAAAACTGATTCTCTCAATAATAACAACGAAATAAACTCTCGATAAGTTAATGTCTTACAATCAAATGATATTGTTATCCTAATATTTTTAGTATCAATAGTACTATAGCATCATTTAACTTAAACGAATTGAAAAAAAATTAAAAGCTCTTTTCTCTATCTACCTTAATTTATGATCTAAATTTAAATCAGCGAGGCCAAGACCATAGCGCAAAACAAAACAACCGTATTTTAAAAGCAGATATAAAAGGTACAAAACATATATATTTTATGGTATTTTGAGCTTCTGCCCTGCCTTTTACTCATTAAGTAAAAAATTTAAACTTTTTGTATTATTTGACAAACAATAAGATTTAATTTTTGTTTTGTTTTTTATTTTCTGATATTATATATGTTAAAGGGACCAGAAAATTCAATATGGTATTTTTTAAAATAACTTACAAGTTTATGCCCCACCTTAATACAGATATATTAATATAATAAAATGAATAATGAAGTAAGAACTCTATATTATGCCCATTTTCTATTTAAAAATCTACGTTCGGCACCAAAATAGATAAAAATCTACAATTTTTATACAAAGTAGATAAAACTTTACGATTGATAAAAATCTTATTGCTAGTGTTTTGTTTAAATGTTTGATTAAATTTAAGGTTTGTTGTTATATGTAAGGTCTATGCATTTCATTTACTAATTTACACCTCTTTTAAAAAAGAGTTAAAAAAATACCAAGTATTTAAAAAGAGATAAATTAAGTGAACTAAATTAAGCATGAATTTAAATAAGAAACAACAGCAGTAAGATTGTAATCAATTAACAATAAAAATTATAACCAAAATAAAATAAAATAAAAAGAGTAAAAATAAAAAAATCTATAATTAAAAAATCCAACTTTATTAATAATAAAAAAAAAACAAAAAACGTTTTCAAATCTGTTGGCTGTATTATTGTTTTATTTATCTTCATAAATTTTTTGTTTTCATCATTTTTTGAACGTTATTTCAATTTAAGAAAATAATAATTACCAAAAATAACAACTCAGAAATCTGATGAAACCAACTTCAGTCGAAGAATTTTTCAGACTCACAGTTTGGGCTTTTTTACATTATACCATTTATGCTTAGATTTATCAGTAATATATTTTGCGAAAAAACAAAAATGCTTTTCATTTAATAAATAAAACAATCGTATTCAAAAACTGAAATTTGTAATAACGAAACTTTTTGTTGTCTAATAAATTATATCTCGCCTCAAATCAATTAATTACACAGTTGCTTTCGTTTTTCTAAAATATAAATGTAATTATTTGCATAAAAATACAATATATAAACAATTATTATTTTTAATAAAGTTATTAGTACTACATAAACCATGTACTTAATCTGATATATATTAGAATCTAAAAGATTCTAATATATATATCAGCTATAATATTTACAAAATAATTCTAAAAATACCTGTCGGGTGTCAGTACTTAAAAGATCAAAATGTAATAAAAAAAGAAGATATTTATAAAGTAAAGTTTTAAAAAGAAAACAAAGAATTATTACAACTTGTGTAAAAAGTCTTCAAAATTTAAAAAAGTTTTATTAAAGTTGTCTTTCAATAATTCTAAATAGCAGCTTCAATAATTCGCTATATAGTAGCATCCCAATTTTAAAAGCACATAACACAAAGCAAATTTAAAAGCACAGATTACACAGCATATCTAAAAGCACACATCACTATGTACGTATGAAAGCACATGTCACAAAAAACATCTAAAGAGATTTTTTTCAATAGAACCTTGTTTTTCTGTTTACTAGAAAATGTCACCTGTGGTTGCAATTTTTAAAACTCTGATAATCACTCTAAAACTATCACCCAGTCTTCTTACCATCATAAGTTTGAAATAATGATGATTACAAATAACAAATAACAAATAAAGATGATTGTAAGACACATAACGTATTCTAATATCAATATCTAATCGTTATTGCACAAAAGATTTGCACATATTTTTAAAAATAAGTTTATTTACTTAAAACTTTAAGGGAAAAGAAGGGAAGGGGGAGGCAACTACAATAAAGAAAAAATAACTCAATTCTCTTTTATATATTTACCACAAGCTTTAAAGAAAAATCAGGCAGCACATTCAACTAGACAGAGACTCAGATTGTGGATGAAATAAAAGGGACGCAAAGGAGTTCAATTTTTGTAATCTTACGAATAACAAAAACTAATTTTTTATTAAAAATGTACTCTCTTGAAAAATAATAAAATAAAAAAAGCAAATAACCCTAGTTGCATTAGACAACTGATGATGATTCTATAAGTTAATTTTATTGACATTTATTTTGATGAATTTTATTTTGGAGTGATATTGTAGATATTTTATTTTGGAGTGATATTGTAGATATTTTATTTTGGAGTGATATTGTAGATATTTTATTTTGGAGTGATATTGTAGATATTTTATTTTGGAGTGATATTGTAGATATTTTATTTCGGAGTGATATTGTAGATATTTTATTTTGGAGTGATATTGTAGATATTTTATTTTGGAGTGATATTGTAGATATTTTATTTTGGAGTGATATTGCAGATATTTTATTTTGGAGTGATATTGTAGATATTTTATTTTGGAGTGATATTGTAGATATTTTATTTTGGAGTGATATTGTAGATATTTTATTTTGGAGTGATATTGCAGATATTTTATTTTGGAGTGATATTGTAGATATTTTATTTTGGAGTGATATTGTAGATATTTTATTTTGGAGTGATATTGTAGATATTTTATTTTGGAGTGATATTGTATATATTTTATTTTGGAGTGATATTGTAGATATTTTATTTTGGAGTGATATTGTAGATATTTTATTTTGGAGTGATATTGTAGATATTTTATTTTGGAGTGATATTGTACCTGCAATAAACAATATCTTGAGTGTAACAACTTAGTCTCTGACACACATTTATATCTGATCATTTTACCGCTGACCTGTTAACTGCTACAACAGAAAGGTTAATATATTGCAGAAAGGCTACAACAAAAACCATTAGATGGAAGCGGTGAGGTGAAGACTCCTAACATATCAAAAATATGATTTTGACTCAAAGACTACTTGAGATATCTTTTGATTAAGTTTGACATAAAGGTCTTCTCCATAAACTCGCTACATATGGTGTTTGTAAGAAAGTTCTTTAAATAATTTAATCCTTCCTTTCTAACCATAACATCTAAACTTTATTCAATGGACAACACTCTCTTATTCTTTAATAACTTCTGGGGTACCATAAAATCCCATTCTTTGTCCTGTGTTATTAATAATAATTTATTATTATAGCTTTATTTACAACTGTATACTGCAGTTTTGAAAAAAAGTTTTTATTGCTTAGAACAGGAGGCCAATTTTGAATCTAATCTCTTTTCTGTTGCAGTTTGGGGTTTGCAGTGGTGACCTTTAACAAAAAAAGATATTTACTACTAATGATTATTGCACTGTTGATATTCTTGTATTATTGAATGACAACACTCTGACTGTTCATCCTCTGCTTTTCACCTTTATAGTGTTCACTATTTGCTAATCCTAATTCTATTCTCTATCTCTATAAACCTCTTATTTCTATATTATTATAGAATTTTCATATATTATTATCGAATACTGCTGTCATATCTTATAAAACAGCATGTGTTTAGTAAAAGTATAAATTAAATTCACATTTAAATGAACATTTTTTTTCAAGTCATCTCAATTCACAATTAAATAAAAGTTGTAAAGTGTTTTTTGCATTTTTTGGTCCTAAAAAATGATCAAAAACAATAAAAATTAAATGTATCCTTGTAGTGATACTGTTTTGAAGTGCATATACTATCAAGAAAGTGCTCAATGAACTCAGTCAGAGCTATAATATAGTAAAAAAATAAAACTACGCAATTTTCACAACTTATATATATATAATATAAATTGTGAAAACCGTGTTGTTTTACTTTCTACTATATTATAGCTCTGACTGAGGTCATCTTTCTTGAAAGTATATGCACTTTAAAACAGCATCACTCTAAACATACATACATACATACATACATACATACATACATACATACATACATACATACATACATACACACAGATATATATATATAACTGTTATTTATTGGCATTCAATATATTTTAATAGATTTCTCTTTTACTAAGACAAATATCAAAAAATGAACTTATAAGTAAAAATTAAAATTTTATGTTTTTGTTGTCAATTTTCTTTCTGCAACAAACTAAAATTACCTGTGAATTAACTCTTCTTTGCCTCTCTTGTTCATCTATTTGAGATTGTGCTAATGCTTGAGCTAAAACAAAGTCTTCTTGTTCTTGTTCTGTTAACCCAGATTTTGATTCTAATTGATTGGTTTTTAAATGATCAGCAGAAGCTTTTAGGGCAGCAGCTATAGCTTCATTTTCATTCTTAAATAATAAAAATAATAAATTTCATTCCGTATGTTATTAATAATTTAGCTATTGTGCAACTTTTTATTATACTATACTTAATGTGTTATTACATCACACAATTGTGCAAAGTTGTTGCTAACATTCATACACTATGTTTAAAAAACCTATAAACACTAACTTTGACTTTAAACTTCAACCTCAGAGCTGTTAATTGAATAATAGTGAAATGATGTCTCAAAAACAAAAAAACAAAAAAACAAAAAAAAAAGAAAACGTTTAGGGGTGAGCTTTTTATGTTTATTTTTGTGTTAGAGGTATGTTGTATTTTTTTCCAAAAATGTTTAACATTATTTAAAATTGCTTTCAAAAATACTTTTAAGATTGTAAAAATATTAAATCAATTTAAAAAAAGTAAAACATTTAATTGTTGTATTTGAATTAAAAAGCTTTAGAAAATTTATGTAATAAAATAAAACATTTCAAATTTAATAAAAACTCTCAAAAACTTTAAAAAAAAATTCACTTAAAAAAAAAAGATCTGCATGGACATTTTAAGATTTCAACTTTTTTCCTTAAAATTCGTAAGGTTATTTACTTAAGCAATGCCTGGTGATCTCCTAATAACTCATTTTAAATACTGAAAAGAATGACTTTACTGTTAAAATTTTTTATTTAAAAAATTTTGGAAATATAAATTTGTCGAATGGTCACACACGAGCAGTGAAGGCCTGAGGGAAAAATATAAATTTGTCGAATGGTCACACACGAGCAGTGAGGGCCTGAGGGAAAAATATAAATTTGTCGAATGGTCACACACGAGCAGTGAGGGCCTGAGGGAAAAATATAAATTTGTTGAATGGTCACACACGAGCAGTGAGGGCCTGAGGGAAAAATATAAATTTGTCGAATGGTCACACACGAGCAGTGAAGGCCTGAGGGAAAAATATAAATTTGTCAAATGGTCACACACAAGCAGTGAAAGCCTAAGGGAAAAATGAAATACTAATGCGTAATTTGTGAAGTGGTTAAGTAATAAACAGTCTTTTCTGGCTTCTCAATGAGGATCAGCATTAATAACTAATTTATTCTGTCATCGTCATCGCCACTTATTCTTTACCCCGCAACTTATGCCTATTCCATACTACATTAAAAAAAATCACTAAAATTAGCCAAAACATATCCACACCCTAATTTATAGAAAAACCCCAATATTATTTTTATGAAATGGTATTGAAAGTGTAGATCCACTGTCAATCTCTGAATTTCTTCCTTTAAATACTAAAAAGAATAAGAATTAAATTAAGAATGAGAATTAAATTGTGCATCTAAAAAATTTTCAAAGTAATATGCACTATATTTAGTGTATATAATTTTTAAATTAAAAATTTAAAAATTAAAAACTTTATTAATTCTTGGAAACTGCATAAAATATGGGAGTATAATACAGATTTAGTATATGAAGTGACTAACATCAAGTTTTCATTGTATTATTCTTCTGATGAACATTTATTAAATTTAAATAACTTAATAAATTCAAACAAAATAAAAATATTGTTAAATAATAAAGGTTTTGTTGAGCTGCAAAGCTATAGCTTTATGATGCATTCATAGTTTTATAATATTTTGATAAAAGTTATTTCACTGCTATAGGCACATAGCTATAGCTTTACCAACAACATTCAACATTCTTTATCATTCAACACATTTTTACTATTCAACGACTTTCATTCAACAACACATTTATTATTCAGCGACTTTTTTATTATTCAACAACATTTTGATTAAAGTAAGATATATAATATATATTAGATCAAACTGTTGTTTTTTTTTTGTTTTAAATGATGACATGAAGTTTGATTATAAAGACTTATTATACTGTTTTATAAACTAAAAAAAAATGTTTTCTTAAAAACCAAAGCTTTATTAGTCATACACCATAATTCCATTCATGTTTTTTTTACTTGATTGTCGCAATTTTTAATGCTTAAATTGATCTATATTCTTAATAGTAAACCAATAAATTTTGATATTTTTATGTTATTCAAAACATAACTACTTCAGTCAATATTCAAAAGTGAAGTGGAGTTTTAAAGTAAACTTGATTGTTGTTATGTTTATTGAGAGAACTAATGTGCATATTTTAATTTGTTGATGAGAATTTTTAACTATGACTTTTTATCATATGAATTACTCACCATTCCATTGTAGGATATTGGTGATATTCTAGAAGGAATTGTAGATTTTCCAAAAGCTTCATTCCTTTTTTTTCTAAACAACAGCAATAAAATTAAGGAATTATAAAACAGAAAAAAAAAATTCAAAAATTATCATATAAAAAATAAGATTATATTATATATAATATCAGAAAATCAATTTACAAGAACTAATAATAAGATTGACATATAGATAAATCAAGCTCAGAAAAAGTTTCTTTTTAAATCCTCAAGTTTCAAAGATCATTTATATATATATATATATATATATATATATATATATATATATATATATATATATATATATATATATATATATATATATATATATATATATATATATATATATATATATAAATATGTATATAGATGCGTGCAGTCACACGCTTTAATTGACCAATTGCATTAACGATCTTCTAGATATTCTCACATCTAAGGTGGCATTGTTCGCTGATGATACTACCATTTATTCTTGTCACGATAAGAAGCCAACTCCCTCTGATTGCTTGCAGGGGGCATCTGAGCTCAAAAAGGATCTCACTTCTGCTACAGCATGGGGCTCGCAGTGGCTGGTGAACTTTAATTCAGATAAAACTCAATTTTTTTTCGGCCAATCGTTATCGCAATAATTTAGACCTTCCTATATTTATGAACGATAATGTACTCGATAATGAGTCTCCTACCCTTCATCTTCTAGGATTAACTCTTACTTCTGATCTTTCTTGGAAACCTTATATCAAATCCATTGCAAAATTAGCATCTGCTAAAGTTGCTTTTCTTTATCGAGCTCGTCACTTTTTTACTCTGGGTTCTATTCTCTATCTCTATAAATCTCAAATCCGGCCTTGTATGGAATACTGTTGCCATACCTGGGGGGATCTTCTAATGATGCTCTTTCTCTTTTAGACAAGGTGCAAAAACGCATTGTAAACATAGTTGGACCTGCTCTTGCAGCCAACCTTCAACCTCTGTCACATCGTCGTAATGTTGCTTCTCTTTCTCTTTTCTACAAATACTATAATGGGCACTGCTCTAAAGAGCTAGTATCTCTTGTGCCATCTACTAAAATTCATTCTCGTGTTACTCGTCATTCAATTAAGTCTCATCCTTTTTCTGTTACTGTTCCTAAGTGCTCCAAAAACTCTTATTCGTCTAGTTTTTTTCCTCGAACATCAGTTCTTTGGAATTCACTTCCTTCATCTTGCTTTCTTGATTCATATAATTTGCAATATTTTAAGTCGTCTGTCAATCGTTATCTTGCTCTACAATCTTCATCTTTTGTCTTCCAGTAACTTCCAACACTAATTAGTGGTTGCTTGCAACCTTGTTGGAAGCAAAGATAATTAAAAAAAAAAAAAAAATGTATATAGTTTTTAGTTTTGGCCACGGCTTTTTGCATATTTTAAGTTAAAAATGCGCTGTTTAAAAAATACACTGAATAAATAAATCTAAATCTAAACTTAAAATTAAATATAAATACACTCTAAACTGTAAATAAAAATGATAACGAATGATAAAATAAATAAAAATTAAACCAGTAAAAACAAAAGATAAAATTAATAAATATTTCATTTTAATTTAGGAGTGTTTAACTACAAAGAATTTAGAAAAATCGAAGTTGAATTATTATTAATTTATATAATTAATAGTTAAATTTATTTAATTATTTTTATTTATATAACTAATAATTAAATTATAAACTATTAGTTATTTAATCCAAGCTTAACCACTTTGAACTTTAATTATTCAAAAATCAGCAACTTTAATATTTTCAATTGCCAACAAAGCAAATAAAGTATTAAAAGAAAAAAATTATCTGTTACTAGGATTTGAACCCTCATTCAATGTCGATATGACAATCACGCCACAAAAATGAAACAATTAATCAATCTAAGAGCTACGTGGCGGTATTTGAAAAACTATTAGCATTAAAATGTTAATGGAAACGCTTTTAAATTAATTAAGTTTGAACAATTAACAGAGACGCCACTAAATTAAAAAACATATCATTTTCTCTGGTTTATCCTTCATTTATTTTACCATTCATTTTCGGTTTATGGTTTGCTTATTTTTAATTTTCTTTTTCAGTGTATTTTTTAAAACAAGCAAATTATCAATATAAGCAAAACACCATGGCCAAGTTGTCAAAAAAAAGTTGTATACATGATCATATAAGACATGCAACCATAAGCCTTTACTGAGAAGGCTTGTAGATGTAGTATATTATATATATGTACCGATACCAGTAATATTGAGTAACATGGTATATATATATATATATATATATATATATATATATATATATATATATATATATATATATATATATATATATATATATATATAATATATATATATATATATCATATACCACATATATAAGTGTGTCGATGGTTTTGGATTATTTAGGATAATGCACTACAAATTTATTATTTCAAATGAATTCAAAAACTAACCTAACATTTTCTCCAGGACAATTGTGATTACTTTCATGGCGGTGACGCAAGCATACAATTTGTTTGCATAATGAACATAAGACAGGAACAAGCTAAAAAAATACATTAAGAAAAATGTTTCATGATTGTTTTTAAAGAAAATAAGCACATTTATATATTTTATATACTACACATTTTAAAAATAACCATATGAACAAGCATAAAAATAACCTACTTCACGATTTTTGCATCCTTTAGCAATACACCTTTGTGAGCGCTGAAAATTAAAATTTATTATGATGATATTCAAAAAGTAAAAATAAAGTGTTTCATATTTTTCTTAAATTTGAAAATAAACTGACCCTGTTTCTTTAATATAAACTGACCGTGTGTTTTGCAAGATCTGATTTACAATCATTTTCAATATGATCATTGACCTAGAGTAAATATAGAATATTAAAATGCTATTAACTTATATATATATATATATATATATATATATATATATATATATATATATATATATATATATATATATATATATATATATATATATATATATATATATATATATATATATATATATATATATATATATATATATATATATATATATATATATATATTTAAACAATTTAGAATGTACAAAAAGAGTGCTCAATGTTCTTAAAAGAACAGAGCAATTACAAATTAGTAGAAAATCACTTAGTAAAATTTTTTCTCATTTAACACTGTTTCATCAATAAAGACTCATCAGAAATTTCTGATGAGTCTTTATTGATGAAACACAGTGTTAAATGAGAAAAAATTTTGCTAAGTGATTTTCTACTAATTTATATATATATATATATATATATATATATATATATATATATATATATATATATATATATATATATATATATATATATATATATATATATATATATATATATATATATATATGGGCAATTCCATTTTTAACTTACATTACACACGCAACAACTTTATCAAATATTTTCCTATTTAAACTGTAAATTAAACTTTTAGCTATTTTGCATGCAAGCTGTTTGTGTAAAGAATAAAATAAGTTAAAAAGTTTTAAACCAGCTAAGGAAAATAAACTGGTTTTTTTGATACTATATATCTAATTTACATTATATCACTTACGTTACCAAGCGATTATTATCGTGGATTTTTTATATCTATTATTAAGTGTTAGAATCTTTATATCTATTATTAAGTGTTAAACTCTTCCTAAGTGATTTTTCATAACATTTTTAATAATCATCAAATCAAAAACAAATTTTCCGCAAGACCAAAAGCAACTCTAAAAAACTATTTTAGTATTTACAACTTATTTGAGTTTTTTAAATAAAAAAATCTTTGGTTTGTAGAAATTTTTACTTACACTTCTTACTTTAATGCGTATTGCCTTATTTTCATTAGGTTGAATTTTGAAAATGCACAATTTAGGAGGGAGAGGGGTTTCAGGTATATATGATTGTTTGTGTCAGAAGGGAAGGGGTTAAGAATTGACAAATATAGGGTGACAAGCTTTATGAATGACCCCTTTAATTGTATTTACAAACAATTTTTTTTTCTAAAACAAAAAATAAAAAATGTTCTTACTGATTTTTTTATATTAGGAGAATAGCAAATGTATCTTTTCATTTTTTTTTTTTTTACATAAACAAAAATAAAACAATTATATAAATAATTTTTTCATCATTAAAAAATTTAATATAAATAATTTAATTATCATTGCAGCGCTCGAAATAACGGCCGATCAACGATCAATGATCGTCGACTTTTGGAAAAAATGAAATTTTGAACTCCCAAAATTAATTATGGCCGATCAAATTTGATCGTCTACATTGCATGTCACACATTAGAATAAAAAATTTTTTAACATTTAAAAAAGAATCTTAAATTTATTAAATTAGCATTAAAAAAAATATGTTCATTATTGCTGAATTAAACAAGTTTTTAGACCAATAATAATCTTTTAGTTCACATTAAAAATGGTAATTAAAAAGAAGCGCGAAGTTTATTGTAAATAACTTAATAATGCTTTTGATTGGTGGAATAAACATAGCGTTGATTTCGTAACAGTCTTCAGTTCGAAAGTTTATTAACTGTAAAAGAATTATTTTAATAAAGCAAATTCATTTGAATAAAATGAATTAATAACTAGAAAGGTAAACATTTCTTTGATTTTCTGAAAAATAATGAACAAAGCAAGTTTGTGATTCGTTGGAAAACTTCATTTTGAAATCATCGTGACAATTTAAATTGAAAGAAACAGTTTTTGTTTTAAAGTTTTAGAAATTAAATGGTAAGTTTAAAAATAATCTTAAAATGGAAGCATACAAAAAGCGTCAAACATTTATTTCTTTTAAAAGAAACTTAGTATCTGGAACACCCGCTGAGAAAAAACTAAAAACTTATGACAGAAAGCTACAATTACAAACAGCTAATAAATGGAAAGTCTCTACGCTTGCAAAATATAATGCTAATGATTGGCTTGAAATTGAAAGCGTTGACGGAATAGTTACAGCGCTAAAATGCAAAGTATGCCAAGAATATGCATCGCAAATTCAGATTTTAAAAGGCTACACTCCGGAATGGAGCTGTGGAAAAAGATGTAGTCGATTGCAACATAGTTCTGCAATCACGCATGCAGAGGGAATGTCTCATCAGAAGGCTTTTGAGATTTTTATAAAAACGAGAGGCATGAATTTGTGCGATCGAATTAAAAAACTAAACGAGTTGCAGCAGGAAATGCGGCAAACAGACATTTTATCCGGTATTCAAACCATGAATAGTAAGACTTGGATTTGACAAAAAAAAAATTTGAGGTCGCTTACTTTATAGCAAAAGAAGAACTATCGCTTTGCCTATACCCAAAAATAATTCAATTAGAAGAGAAACATGGTGTAGTTTTTGGTCAGGCTTATAAAAACGAAAACACATGCGGAGTATTTATTGACTACATTGCTCTTAGTTTAGCGATAGATCTCAAAAATAAACTAAATACTCAAAATTTTTTCACTATTTTAATTGACGGTTCTAACGACGTTTCAATTAAGGAAAAAGAAGCTATATTTGCCGTTACTTTTAATCCGGCTCCAACTGGAAAATCTGAAGTAAACGTTGAATGTGATTTTCTTTCACTTTTGGATGTTGAGTATGGAACTTCGCACGGAGTTTTCAACACCATAAAAAAGTCACTCGAGAATATAGAAGTCGTAAATTGCAATAAAAAACTAGTTGGATTTGGTGCGGATGGCGCATCCGTTAACAGAGGGAGCAAGTCGGG